TATTTAAAAGGAATGCTTCCTTTTAAGCTCCAACAGTCCACTTCATACTATCATTTAAAATCACACTGGAAGGGATCTCATATAGTTCAATGATTTTCTGGTTGGCTTTCTGCCCCATAGCAGGATGAATTATCTCCATGCTATTTTTGATAGACATTTGTCTAAATTGTTGCTAAAAGCTCCACTGAAGCAATTCCACAACTTGCTTAGTTTTTCATTTTCTGTAACAATATTTTCCTATTACCGAATACAAATCTCCCAATTTGTAACTTAAACTTCTTATCAATCACCCCAGAGCCTTCTTTTTCTTTTCCCTGCACTTTTCCATGAATCTGAAGGTTTTATGTTACTTTTCACCATGTAGTTTAGAGGATCTCAGTTCCTTCAAATCCTTCTTTATTCAAGGCCCTGTAATCTACAAGATAAGGTACAGTGCTAATAGAGATCTCTGAATTCTTTATTGGCCAAGGAACAATTTCTGCCATTGACACTGTCAGTGTAGAGGCCAAGAACTCAGTGAGAGAAAGAGACTGGCAGATCTTCACCTCTACAGTTAGATCCTGAAAAACAGTACCAAGGCAAGGAGACAAAGTCTGCAGAGATGCACACATTACCAGTGCTAGTTTAGTCTAGCCTTGTGTTTTGCCTTTAGGTAGGCACTGGAAGCTCAGCTTCTAGGGCTGACAGAGGGGTCACAGCTTGTTTGCATTGAAAATAGAAAAACAGAAAAGATAAGAATTATCTTGATTTTAACTTGCAGCAGAATATCTTTACTATCAAGTATCCTTTACTCCAATCTTCCCTCGACTTCCTGTCTGAAAGCAGGAATGCTTACTTTACACCTACTGCAAGATGTGAGGAGGAGAGAAAGAGGCTTTGGGAATATGGCAGGCTGCCCTGACAAAATCCCCTGTATTGACTTCCAATGAGAGAGCTCACCTTTTAAGATAAAATGTGTTTGCAGTCTTTTAAATTTTACTTATAAATATTCAGGATGAAATCCTGGTTTCTCTGGTCTCACAGTAAGATTTTTACGAATCACTTAATAGCAGATGTATTTCATGCTGCAGGGATATGAATTACAGATAAAATTACACTTTAAAAATGATATTGTTGTCTGCGTCTCAAGATCTCCTTACGTATCACATTGTTCTCAGTCTACGGTTCTGGCAGTTTACATAAAGAACACCCTCACAGTAGAGTAAAAACAATAGTTTTACACATTCAAGTATTATTTTCAGTGAAAGTAACAGAACGGTTTCATAACAGCATGCTTCAGCAACACACAGATGCTTCAAGGAAAAGATAAATCTTTCATCTTAAAATTCTGGCATGAAATTGGTTCAAGATTTAGCAACTGCTGTATCTTAGGCTTTTGCTTTGTTAGTGGTTTTCCAATAATCTCTTCCTCATCTAGATTACCTCTATTATTTAGTTATAACTTCCTCCATAATTGCAATCACTGAATAGTAATCACTTAATAAAGATATCCTGACAGGTCTATTTTTGCACTTGGAAAAGATTCATTTTCTTTATCATCACTCCAGTAAGCAATTTTTCTTCCTAACTGAAGTAGCCAAGTGAAATGAAGTGTCTGGAGCACAGTTCTGCTCTGCTCCAGCCAGCACTTCAGTAAGACCAGGCACCAATCCTTTCTTTCATTTTTAAATTATTTGGATATGGATTCTTCAAACTCTGTGTGACATGGAATTTGTGCTGACTGGTTTCTATATATAACTCCATTGATACACAAAGGTGAAGGCTGCCTTGCACAGCTTGTTACCAGTGAGCTGACACTGCAGACATTTTTTTCCTATAATGCAGCTAATGCAGAGACAAACCACATTCTTGTTTAAAGCTCATGAGAAGGAATATGAGCTTAGATACTCAATGCTGAAAAGCCAAAGCGTACACATATAGTGGACTGTTTTGAAAAGACTGACTGTATATTAGATAGAACAAAATAACCTGACAAACTTGGATACCTGCAGGTTGCAATAATGATTTCTCTTCCACTGTGATGGGGATATAGAATGAGAAACTGCTGAAGAAACACAAAGAAAATAAAAGAAAGTTTGGTTTACACATAGAAACCTCTTTTTCCTCACAAAGTAGACTGATTTATCCTGAGTGGACTTGGCTTAAGCCACTAAAATCAAAGTGGGCTTTTCTCCTGACTTGAAAGGATTTCAGACTGGGTCTAGCAATATGTGAACATTCAAACCAAATAAATTCTCCTGTCAGTTTTCTGCTTGAAGACTGTGTAGGGAGTGCGTATCGTGAAGTTCCTAGAGAGACTGAACACAGCTATTAAAGAACTGAAGCTGTGCAGAGGGAAGGGAAAGAATTCAGCCTTTGCTCATATGCCTTCTGCACCTGGCCTGGCCTTGCTTCCTCTTTGGACAGACAGACTTGTGGGGTTTCCAAGGTACCTTCCAGACAGGACTAAGGGAATGGCTCTGAATTAAAAAACCATTAATTAACATTCCTGAATATAATTGTTTAAGGCAGACATTCCCTAGCTAGTAATTCTGATCTCAACATTTCAATTGAAAGCTTAACCCATAAAGGGAGCGCACTAAGTTAGAACGAGTTCCTGTAAAATTTAAGTATGTTTTAGCTATTCACGCAAACGTTTAAAGTACACAGAGCAATTCATTCTTGGCTCCCAGGACCAATCTATTCTCCAAGGACCAATTGTCCAGTGGTAACTCCTAGTGTTTTCTTTACAATCACTGACAAAGCTTAGTTTTATCACCCTTACCTTCCGTGCTCTCTCCTTTTGAGCCCCCTAAAACGAGCCTCTGTGTTAAAAGCAAAGCAGAGAAAACAAACTGATGGGATAAAGCTGTGATGCTTTCCTCAGCTGACTTCCATTTCTGGCATCACGCTTTGTTGCTTTTGTCAATGGTCTGACAGTCAGGGAATGTCTCATTAATACAGCCTCCTCACAACAACATCTATCTGTCCACATGTAGCACACAGCTTACGACTGCACAAATTTAAATGTATGATAAATGGAAGGGCAAACCTAATTTTATTTTATTTTTTTTGCCCAAAGTCTAATCTTTACTGCAGGCAGACCCACGTTAAATTTAAAAGAAACTTTTCTGATACATACCAAACAAAAAGAGCTTACACTTACTTACTTTAACCACTTCACCAGTGTTGGCCTTCCTCTCAAAAGAAAAGTAATAGGGAAAATATTTATTTCACAGCTTTGAAAATTAAACGAAAAATCTCACTTCAGGATTCACTTGTCCAGCTTGTAATTTTTCAAATTCTTTTACGATATCACTACAAGGCATCTTTTTGTGTGCACAGTAATGAAGACTTGAAATACACTAATTATCTCTGAACAGGCATGATTCTAAAAAATTATTGAAAAAAAAAAAAGGGCAAAGAAGCAACTTTTAGAATAAGCAATAATTACACAATTTAATGCAAAAATATTTATAAAGTAGGCATTTTGTACTCAATATTACAACAAAACGCCTGGATTAATCTAGCAGAGAGATGTTGACATGATGGAAGTCAGGAAGCAGTTGTGAATAAACGCTCTGCATCTTTGCTGGTGATAAAGTGTTCAATCACAAAAGCTTTGACTTTAATCATATTGCCGTAGTGCGGTGGAAGCATGCAGCACCACAATGTCAGAGATATGCCCTAAAAATATGATTTAGTTTTACCAATAAGCATATTCTTTTACTTTCCAACTCATGTATGCATCTGAAATGGTTTGTATATTCAAGGAGAAATCAGAGGGGAATGAAAAAGAAAAACAGCTTGAGGGATGCAATAATCTCACCATACTTTTAATTAAAGAAATAGCAATTCACTTGTAATAGGACTGTCCCATTAGGGTCCCTTTTTGCCATGAAAATCTCAATTGACCTACTCCTTTTCCCTGGTAAATTCATCCCTTCAAGAAGATCTTGCTTCTTGACTCATCAGGTTTTTTTATTTAAGGTACACCTCATCGCTCTCTATAATTTTTTTTGAGAAAAATACACTTGCCTGAAACTCACACAGTTCCAGTTCATATTTGGAAACTCTTACTCCATATAATTTTGCTTATAGTTCTCAAACAAGATTTGACCACTTAGATCTTCCAATTTTCAACTACAATACAGGGAAAATAACATTTTTTTTCCTTCCCCCTCCCACCCCTCCAGTAATTTGATAATATTGTCCAAATACCCCGCCTGACTGCTCATAGGGACAAAATAAAGAACATCATTTAGGAACAATTAATTGCTCTTCAAAATAAGATTTCAAGTGCTGTAATTGAAGGGATAGCACATCATTACTTTGTGTAAGTATAACCTTTTTGAACTTCCCAGGCTGACACATCACAGCTGAGATGCAATCGTGTTAGTCACAGCACTCTGCATGATGCCAACACTGCGCTGAGCAACACACTATTAGGAAAGGGTACAGCAGCATGCTGCACTACTTGTCAGGCCCTCCCATGCTGTGATTGTCTATATGCAAACACCATGCCCACTGTCACAGCACAACACAGGGAAATGCTAGGGAGCTATTTCTGTAGCACCAGGAGCACTTATTCCTCCACCACTTGACCCCTGCTCTGTGTGGAGATGGTGGTGGTGTGTTTCAGATGTGATGTATAATAGCAGGAAAGCACTGATGCATCAGACCAGGAAATTAAAAAAGATGCCATTCACACAAAGGAATGTTTAGTTAAGTTTGAAAAGCTTGGCTCAAAGGACACCATGATGGACCATTTGTTACATCTTTACTTACTAATGTTCGTTTGCTGTGGATTTTTTTCCCCCCAAACCAGCTTGTTATTTATTTTCAATGCTTCTAAGAGCTCATCTGCATTTCGCCCAACACATTTGGAGCCCAAGATAATATTGGAAAGCGTTAGGGTCCTTAAAGGAACAGCCTATCACAGTACACCACAGTAACTATGTCTCTACGATTTATGAAAAGAAAGCAATATGTGCCTGTTTCGGTGCCTGTCGTTTGCCTACCAATGGTGCAGTGCTCCCCATTCCAGCCCTCTCTGCATTCACATTTCCCATCTTTACAAGTTCCGTGCTCTGTACAACGGGGATGACACACACGCTGGTCACACGCCACTCCTGTCCACCCTTCTTCACAGCGACATGCTCCGCCAATGCACACCCCATGGGTGCCACAGTCTACAGAGCACACTTCTAGGAGAAAAAAAGAATACAGGTTATAGCTGGCTTATGTCAGAGGCAACCTAAGTCAGCAGTTGAGCAGAACAGGCACCCTTTTGCTGAAAGCAGGCCTCTTCTCGTGGGGATCAAAACCAGCGTTAAGCATTGAACTTTGTGAAGTTCAGAAAATGATTACAAAAATGTGCTGCTGTATTCTGGACAGATCACGGTCGAGCTGTGTCCTCCATTCCAATGCAGAGAATTTCCTCAATGCCTTTCAGTATGGCAGAAGGGGGAACATGGATCTGCTTTACTCAAACCTGAACCTGCGCTGATTTTAACACATTTGTTTATTAAGAACGAGACTGAAACTCACCTAAAACACATTCAGCAGAGAATGGTCACAATTCAGGGTCACAGAGACTCTCGGAGTGACTGGAAAACATACTTGCAAGTCACAGGTTTGGAATCCTATTGCTTATAATGGTGGGACACACAGTACCTTGCTCCTAAATTCTCTTGCTCTCTGCCAGCAGTCACAGAAAAGCAGAGGGTCTTTTGCCTCACGCATCATCAAAGAAATTGACAGTTTAAATTCTCATTCATGAATTTTGCTGGCTGCTGCTAATGCATGAAGCAGAAAAAACATATCTCAATCCTCATTTCACTGGTGGGGTATTCTGAGTCATTAATTTTAAGAAATAACTGAATAAATGTGAAAGCTGTAAATATTACTTTGAGAGACAATTGCACCTCAAGAATCAGCTCACAATATAAATGCAAAACTCCAAGTATTTTTTGCCACAAATAGAACATTTGCTGTCACGTCAAAGCTGTTCTTTTTTTCCCCTTAGCTATTTCTGTTAGAATAAACACTTTTACAATATTCAGTCAACTGAAGCATTGAAGAGGATGAATTTTTCAGCTTACATTTCTGTTCTTGCTTTTTAGAGTGCCTTTTGCCCTAAAACTAATTGCTTAAATATTCAGTGTACAACTGAAAATTGAAAAATACCCCATATTTAGGAGATCTTGCTGTTGCGTGATATTTTTCGTAAGTGGGTAGCATTGTGATGTGCCATAAAACAAGTACCAAAAATAGAGTATTTTCAAATATTATGGACATATCTGTGAATCTCTGCAATGGAAGTTTTCAGTCAAAGTGAGGAAAGAGATATGAAGCAGTTAAGTAACTTTCTCAGTTCAGAAGGAAGTCAGTATCTGAAGGAAATATGGGCTCCTAACCTACACCCCCACCCCGAGCTGTCAGTCCCAAATTAGGGATGTCACAAAAAATAATCTAAAATGTATGCATGCTTCTTTCCAACACAGTCCAGAACAGGACCAAGCCTGTTCCTAAGAACAGTTCCTATTTGCATTTCAAATTCGCCTCCAATATTAACATTTTTCCAGAATAGGAGCACTGATGCAAAATTGCAGGAAATAGTTTTCTTACCAACGGAGCAGTCAGGACCCATCCAGCTGGGATCACAGCTACACAGGCCGGTGTCAGACAGGTATGTGCCGTGCCCACTGCACTGGTCTGGACACTGGGCTCTGGGAAGCTCACAGTTTATTCCACCCCAGCCTGGGCTGCAGAGACATTCTCCGTTCACACAGACTCCGTGATTGGAGCATGTTGGATCTAAGCAATCAACTAAATAAGAAAACAAAAAGAATGCACACAAAGGTCAGTTCCCACAATACAATGTATGGAAAAAAAGTAGATGGACACTTTTAAGATCTTAACAGAGCGGCAAAATAAAACAAATCAATATGATTCTTCATGTCCTATAAGTACCTGGTCTGAGAACAGAGAAGTGTGAAGTAACCTGTGCTTTGCATTAGGTCTATCTGAAAAAGGGAGTGGCTGAAAAACAAACTCTTAGTGCATGAAATCCGTGGTAAAAAAGCACAAAGGCTCAAAAATAAAAGCTGCATACACACAGTGAGATTCCATACATAAGCCTTAAATGGGGACTTTACTTCTTAAATGCACTCTAGTTCTAATGAGTTAAACAGTATTCTGAATAATAACTTAAAAAAAAACAAAACCAACAACCAACAAATGAAATGCAGTATCTTCATCAGTACTACTATTACTGCCATTCAAATGCTGGACGCCTGTGAGAATGATACTGTGATATTTCAGTTGGGTACCCAGAAGTCAAATTATCTGTGGCTTTCAGATTCCTACTCCACTATGGCAGTGAGACTGACAAGACCCAGTTACTTCAACCTACGTTCTAACCAGCAGACAATTCTTTAGTAAATAAAGAAACACAGATGTAGATACAGATTTTGTCTCTTCACCATCCAGAAACAGCAGAAGAAAGTAAAAAAACAGTTATGATGGAAAGGCATCCATAAAATGTCTTTTGCCATTTTAGCCCTGATAAATAAACGAAATGTTACGACCTTTCTTTCAAATAAACTCTATCAGTAACATTATGGTTTTCCAAATTTCCATCTCATATCATGAATTTGTGTAAGTGTGCTATGCTTTCCTGCAAACAGCAGCGTGAGGTTTTACCAGCTGCCTCTTGCTGGGGAATTGAGGGCCAAGGTCAAACTTATGCCCTAAATAAAATGAATTCACCTCATGACTAGTATATATCAGCTCACAGGAGAAGAATCAAGAATGATTGGCATTCTCTTTTGCAGCTCTAGGAAGATCTCAGTTTATAATGAAAGTGATTTATCTCTCATCTTTTCCAAATTGATCCTTCTAAATTAAGGCAGAGACATTTTCACTTTAACTTCTGTGAACAATACTTGATCTCTTAAATCTCAACTTTTCTATAAACAGACGTCAAATTATTTTATGAAGTTACAGAACATTTAAAGTAAGTATACAGATTAGATACAACTCAGGATTGAAGCAGGCACGTTTAGATATACAATAATGTGAGTTATCAGAATAACTCACGTTAGATTTTAATTCAGATTACAGTAGCACAGAAATTACTGTAACGTTTCTTACAAGATTTTCACAGTAACAATGACCCCAGTGTGGGGGGTTCTGCTAAGATTTAGAGTTCAGTTAATGGGATCTGAAAATATTATTGTGCAATTTAGTGTAAACATAAGCAATGACTGTTCAGGAAAAAAACTGCCAAAGAAAAATGACAAATTACTAATTGTTCTAAAACTATCCAGAATGCCTTCCCCGCACTGTTAGTGTGCCTTGGTGCTGAACAAAACCAGAAGCTGCAAAGAATATGCCTTTCATGACACTTCTGTTGAACCAGACAGGCAAAAGAATCTTATCCAATAAATAAAGAAACAGAAGAAAAAATTAGGTCAATTTATCTTAAGGGTGAAGGTCATGTCTTCCCGTAAATGTATTATTATTTTTTAAAGGTAATATTTTCATGTGAAATTTAAATGGATAATGTGCAGCTTTCTGTTGTGTGTTGCAGCACAGCTGGGAACCTGAGGAAATACTGAGGAGTACCAATGTATGCCCCCTTTTAGAAATGTACCTCCTTCCTTCTCAATTGCTAATGAAAGCAATGTGGAACAAAAACTTATCCTTCTACATAAATGCACTATCTTTCCTCTTTGCAAAATTGCTGTATGCTTTCAGCTGAGCTTTATTAACACAGAATGAGCCTACCAATTCCCCCAAATCCCAGCCCACCATTTTACAGAATAACAACTCACGTGAACCCTGCCAAAACGAGCGTAGCTTGATTACCTGCAATAGGACTGCACTGGCTAATTCTGCACAGGCTCTGTCCCCAGCTCTTTAGAAGAGTTTACAATGGACTTAATAAGGAGTTATAAATGGAGATTCTTTGGTGTTTAAACAAAGGACAACACGCTTTAGCAAGCCACTCTGTTAGACTTGGAATTCGTAGTCTCTTGGCAGCTCAGATCATTAGAGCTCATTTAGTATTGGGCCCTCTGTAGATTTGATAAAAAGGGTACTGAAAGCAATTTATATCCCTAAGGACAAAAAAGGAGGTCAAGGAGTTTTATGAACAATATGTACCATAAACCCCCAAAGAGCCATGAATTACATTTATGAAGTTAAATGTCATTGAAAAATGACTCGACCATGAAAGTGACAAGAAAAACACCGTTAACCTAATTTGTCAATTTGACTTGTCTCCCCACATACCAGATTGAATGAAACCTGGCAAACATGCCCCTTCGTTTTGTGTGCAAATTTGTTAATAGAACAACAGTGTTTATACTGCAAAAATTGTGCATCAAAAATATTGATTTTAGTGCCACTTTCATTTCAGGTAAATTGTTTGAACAGTGAGACCATGATGAATATCAGAAATAAAAAGTGAACTGGAAGAAGAAATGCTGACCCATTTGTTCTAATTCAGTTTCCTCGCTGGAAAATGGAGGATGAACCAACCTTTGCTATTCTTTCTGAAAACTCAAATCAGTAGAGATTTCATATTACAAGATATATTTATCTTGTATACAGATATATTTATTTGTATTGTTCTACCTTTAATTCAAACAGAAAGTTTAAATGTGAGCAGATGATTACTTGCAACTGGAGAGACTTCATATCAGATCCTTTTCCCAGACCTCATGTATTAATAGGAGAAATATGTAAGGAAGTAATGGAATTTTACAGAAGAAATGTTGGTTGGTTCTTTATGTATTTGTAAATTAATTTATTGAGTTATTTATTGCTCAATGATGTATGCAAAAGGTTATTCTAACCTTTTCTATCATGTTATCGGCACTTCCAAGTTTGCAGTTAATACCTCTTTGCCTTTGTAATCCATTTATCTGTTAGAATCCTTATCCTTTGAAGCACTGGTGATTAAATAATCTATATCCTTTCCCCTCACATATTAATGTATCTCCCAACACTGTTGACTGAAAATTTTGGAGCGTTTCCAGCTCTGAAAGGTGTTTACATTAACTCCTTTGCAGCTATACACGCACAAGCTTGTTCTATAAACTTATCTGGAATTGCTGATGTTTTGGTTTACCCACTTCAAACGTTCGCAGTAGGATAAGCTGAATTAAGCACTAGAAAAACCTACTTCTCTTACAGGAGCGTTAGGGGATTCGAGATGTCTAGCCCAAATACAGAACAAGCATTCTACACAATTGAAAGTAAAGAGAGCATCTGGAAATTATAATATAAATGGATGAGGAACTGCTTACAAGGTAAAATTTATGGAATTAAATGAAAGAAAGATCAATTTAGGCCATCTACCATAGTCTCTCTAATAATATTAACTCTAATATAACAATGAGGAACATGATGAAATTCGTATAACTTAATTAGACTGAGCAAACAATTGCAGTTTGTGCCAGAGAGGTTTTGCATTCCTGGGGGATAGACTGGATGTTGCAGAGTGTGCTACATGGTCTTTTCCATGTCCAGTGCCCATGAGAACACTGCTTACAGCAGGGTATTACAGACCATCTTTGAATTTTTCCCAGAACTGTACACTCCGAGTGAACTGCAAACTGTCAAATCTACCATTCAAAAAGGACATTACAGAATTTTCTGGATGTTGCATAAACTGTAAAAAAAAGAAATGGAAAATCTACTGATTCCAGTTGAGTTCTGAATTAGAGCTACAGTGTTGTGAAAAATTCCTGGAAAGAGATGACAAGAATGAAGAAATTATTGCAGTTTTGGCAGTGCCACCAGTGAGAATCACAGCTTATTTTTGCTCCTAGCAAAATAACTTCGCACAGACTAATGCACAGTCTTGTCCCAAAGCTGATGACTGCAGTCCATATCCAAAGAAGTCCCTTAGTGGTTTAGGTCCCTATAGTTTTCTTCCTTCCTTCCTTCTCTTTCCTTCCTTCCTTCGTTCCTCCCTTTCTCCCTCCCTCCCTCCCTTCCTTTTTACTTTAATGGGAGAAATAGGTGTTTGGTAAGATAAACATTGATGCATATGTAGCGTACAGGGCTGCATGCCACTCAGAATACTCCTTAGAGGCCCTTCAGTCCTAAACCCATGCAGCTCCAGTTCTGTCACCTTTGTCTTCAAACTGCTCCTCCTTTTGGAGGATTAATAAACTCTGAGAAGTCATAAAATTGCTTGAAATATTACTCTCTGAGGACATGCCAAGGTATGCAGAACTGTCGATCTAGCAGTCCTCTGGAGAGTTAAATTCCTTTCTAAAACTATAGCAATGCATTTTAAAAAGAACAGGAGTCTGACTGACACAGTGCATTCTAACGGCACCACTGTGAACAAAACCAACACCAAGCTCAATCTATGACCACATTTTCAATGGGTCATTTTGTTACATTTGCTCACCCTGCATACACAAAGAACTGGACACTTCCAACACGAAAAGCTTTTCTGCACTTCAAAAGTAGTTGCTGTTTTCATGTGCCAGCTACCTTTCTTTACTCCCATGAGACTGCAGTTAATAGGAGTAATTTGTGCTGGGTGATGTCTGTATGCAACATGGACACCCAAGTCTTTCCAATCTGTCACATCAACTTCTGTTTTAAAAGCGATTTATCTCTTTGCTTTGTGTGGAGCTGCAGTTACACAATTTTCCCTACTACTACTCACTTTTACTCTGCATTTCAAATCTAAATTGTTCAATAAATATAATCCATAAGAAAAGATTTATCTTCTGTCTTCAGAAAAGGAATTATTCAGGTTTACTTGTGGCAGACATTCTTAGCACCACATAACAGTGTATATAAAAATCAGAACTTTAATTTAAGCTTTCATGGATCCGTACAATCGTGATGGACTACGTTCTTACCTTTCTTTCGCAATATCTGCTACAGCAGTTTTACATTTAGAATGTTATTGTCCTTTCCTTTCTTTTCTAAGAGCTCCAAAACCAGAAAAAAAATCTCACAATGCAGAAAGAAAATGTGCCCAGCATTACCTTCTTCACAGTTTTCTCCTTTATAGCCAACAGAACAGACACAGTTCCCTTCGATGCAGGAACCATGACCTCCACACGAGGGATCAATACACTGGCTGATGGGTACATCACATTCTGGACCTTTCCAGCCACTGTAGCATAAGCAGGTTCCTTTAGAGTACTGACCATTGCCACTGCACAGAACTGGGCAGGCAGCTGGAAAATTGAACAGAAGAAAAAACAGCACATGAGGTCAGAAAAGTATTCCTGTAAAAGTGCATTAAAATCCACTACTAAATAGTTATACACAAGTATCTTAATTAGCTGGAAAAATTAAGCCAGTTTGTACTATTTCAGCTCTTTGCAAAGAAACTATTTGAGTACTTTTTAACAAAGCATGCATATGTTGGGCATTCTGCGAGTACAGCTACTATTCTTTACAATCTACCCATGATGGCTGGGATAACTAATGAGGCAATGTGAAGAGACCTGATTCTGACATTATTCCGCCTGGTTCCATTAGGTAACGTCCAGTTTTCACAGTCAGCAGAACACAATCCCCCAAACACGTCAGTATACAGCATCTTTCTTCTTTCACAACATTTTTTAATTTAGTGTTCCAAAATTTCTATGACCCTATGACTTCTTTTTCCCTCATAAGGATCTTGAACACAGAAGTAACACAAGCTTTCATTTTTATCTACAACAAACTCATGCTGCCACCAATATAACTGCCTAATCTTTACCCGTATCCCAGAGTGAACGTTTCTTCCCTGGGTGTATTGGCAAGAAATAACCATTAACTCCTACCCCTTCCTGTTGTATTAAAGGAATAAGAATTTCTGAGCAAATATTAAGGACTCATTACGCAAATGAACTGCAACCTAGAAATAATAAAGGTGGTTTTGGATACCAAATGTTGGACATATGCAGAACAATGGAAAGAAGTAATAGTTTATTAAAACACATAAAAGTTACACTAAGGCATTTTTACAAATCTATATGCCTATGACTGTCATACAAACACGGCAGACTGTGAACTTACATGCCTGCCAAACACAACATATGGTCCCCAGCCAGAGAAATGGAAAAAATAACAAAGAAGTAAAAGAAAATAGAACTAATGAAGTGTATCTTTGATAAGAGGTGCACTTTTACCCTCTTCTTTGATAAAGTCTATAAAGTATATCCCCATCTTTTCAACTTTCAAAGCAATCAGAAACTAATGGCTACTTCTACAGTACCAAAAATATACTCCAAAGCTACTATTAATCATTAAAAGGTCTTTCTGTCCCTCTTGCTTCTATTATCCCGTTAACCTGAATGATCAAGAAGAACCAAGTAATTGATTTACTACAAAGAAACATGTAATTGTCCTGTTATATGACTTCTCCACTGTTCAGCAACCCTTATTAATCTCAGCTGTCCACTGATCTGCTGCAAATACACATTTGAGAAGGGATTATTTTCAAGAATTTTCTTCTTTGAAGCAGAAAAAAAAAATAATTAGACAAACATAGTCACATTTTTAACCTTGGATTTCAGCTAAAATTTGGAGTGCTGCAAATCATTTCATTTAGGATTATAAGTGACACACATATATATATATACATATATATACAAGTGACATATGTCACTTCCATAGCACTTTTTAATCTATTTTTTTTCCTACAAGAAAATAACAATAAAATCAATAAGTTGAGGTTGGGTGTTTTTTTTTTTTTTGCTTTCCCTTCACTGTCTTAGTGCCATATGATTAATCCTTTGGTAGAAATAGCAACACCGTTACTCTGAGTCTTTTCAATTTTGTTTAATTTTTTTTTCCTTCACTCCAAAATCAAGTACAAATAAAATATAATTTTCAGTAGCAGTTTTCAGATTTCAAAGGTGATATTTGCTTATAAGTGCTTTACTGTGTTTTATGAAACTTCATGCTACGCTTTCTACTCCTGCTTTTTGCAGCTGGTTTCAGAATTATGCCTACTGAACGATCTGGATTAAAATGCAATGCAGACAAGCATCCATCATGTCCACACTGCACTCTGAGTCATTCTGTTTTAAAGCTTTTTTGCATGTCACTATGAAACATCCTTCCACAATATACATTCAACCATTAGCACTTTGGATACCATTCCACTTACTGTTAATTCTGTCCTCAAGCATTACATCAGGGATTCTATCTCAGCTCCTCAGCATGCACTTACTGCTCTTCACAGCCTAGAAATGCTAACTGCTGCTATGGTAGGCCATGTAGGTGAGCCATTCAGAATGGGATCACAGTAGGACCACTTCCACTGCTGTGGATCAGAAGGTGAATGATCAGAAGGCAGCTCGTCCCAAAGACCTGGAGCAATCATACTGAGTGCCAAGTCTGAGATGCCACCTTCCACACCCTGACACACTGTAGAGTCTCATCCTAACATAAAATCTCTCTGAGAAAGTCACACCGTTGAGCTACTGTATATGGTGGTTAAACTTGCAGCCCTACTGTTCAAGTTCATTACTGAATGAAGTGCTACTGCTAGATGCATGTTCTCTATATGCTTCCAAGCCATTGAAGAGACTTGATGTTATTCACGGCTGCTCAGTGTAGCTGCTCCAACTACTCTGTGACATGACTGCATGTCTTGCTTTTGTCTGTCAGTCTCAAAAACAGAAAAGATGTCTGTTCTGCAACCCTCTCCTCTGGAGTCAAAATTAAAATACAGACAATAAGCCTATTTCAGCAAATTGCCTACAAGAGGGACAAGAAATAAATAGCCATCATTAGAAATCAAACAAAGAAAACAAAAAAAAACCTCAACCACCATGCAATTTAGATGGGACCCATCTAGACCTAGCTACAGTAACGTGTCAGACATCTGCTGTAAGATTGCTTCTTTCCCTGCCTTGCACCTAAATCTAAGTAATCATTTGGCGATTATGGTCCAGTTAGACAAACATATATCTGTTTTTTGGAATATGCCTATGGGAGGGTCATTTTCATCTCCCACTTTTGATTCAGATTTGCAGGGTTCAACTTCTGGGAGACCAGAGAATGTACGGCTGGCATAGCAGAAGAAAGATTACCAGATGGTGCTGGGCTGCAGAATAAAGAGATCCAACAGTAGTTTTTTTTTTCTTCTTTTTTCAGTGTTCCCTTGCCCTGTTCTGGAGCTTTAGGAATCTAAGTGAAGCTGAAAGCCACGTTGTAGCTTTTTGTTTCTCTCTTTGTGCTTCAATCAGGTCAGAGGGTTCACAAGACTATTTAGTCCTTGGCAAAGCGTCTCCATTACTTCAAAAGCAATCTGTCTTCAGTGATCTGCAGTTGAGGGATGCACTGCCAAGATGTTAGTGACATAAGAACTAACTTTGCACAAATGAAAGAATCTGTCATTTAATCTTAGGAATTAAAATAACAGAGTTAAGATTTAAGAAAAATGTAAGCAAGAATGCAAGCAAGAGTGGGTAGTGAGAAGCTGTTTTGTCACTGCTGTAGTAAACAGCTCTTCATTAATGCTTCTACTCTGGGTTTATTAGTCGACTTCAGTGAGGAACAGAGAGAGAATCAAGCTGCTTCTGTAGAAAACAATAGCAGGCTGTCAAAGAAGAGTTCTGTTAGGCTTAATTGCTAGGTCATATTGCTGAAGAGTGAAATCCAGAGCACTCCATCATAATTTTCCATCAAGCTTGCCTCAATAAATGTCCAAAGAACTCAGGAGTCATCTGCAGTTCTGGTTTTCTAGGAGTGCTTATTTCCCCCATGTGCAGCAAACATCTCCTATTCCAGCACAGTCCTAGTTTCTCATCTAGCATGCTGGAAGAATGTGAAGGAATAAAAGGTTATAGAACAATTAAGTTCTATCTCATTTCTGCAGGCAGATTACACTGCATAAAGACAACCATCACCATCAAAAAGGGGACAGAACTGTTAGGAAGTACTGAAAAACTCCAGTCAGATAAGCACAGAGGTGAATCCTCTGAGTCAAGCTGAAACAAGGACAACAGTTACAGCCACGAATGTGGTTTTGGTGATGTGATTCTGCCTTTTACCAATACTTGAACAAAACAGCCTGGGTTCTTAACATTGCTGTCAGCTGATTTAATTACAGATAATGGATCGTATAGGCCTTTGAGTTCTGTGGGATGCACAAATTTAAGAGCATGAATTGGGCAGTGAAGACCAGCCAAAAACCTGTCTGAAAGTTCTCCCTCTCAAAGTTTTCACTGAAAATTTTGGAGTAATGATAATATTCCCTGGTGGATGAGAAAAAATGATAACAGTCCACTACACATGGACTAGAAAGGGAGATTGTTAGGGATAATGCCCAAGTTGCAGGGCACCAGAAGCCATCATTTTGTCCATGGATATTTATTAAGTATCCCAGCTGCAGTCCATGTTCACACTCCTTTCACCCACCCCTATGGTATTTACACATACGTACTCACCAGAGTTTTCTTCAAGAGCATGACAAGAACTCCGTAAAGGATATTTCAGGAGCCAAACGCTTGGAGGTAGTTGCAGAACTTAGTTTAGTTTAAATGCTGCTTGGTGAGAGGCCTTCCCCTGATACCTGAAGCTCAAAAATGGCTGTGAAGGGGCCTGGCTCGATTCCTCCTTCTGTAGAGCAAATACTATCCTAGTGCAGAGAATTCTGTATCATTAGGACCTCAGATGTCAGTTCCGTGGCAGCTTTCTTGCAGTTCCTCTCATAATACAGGCAAATTCATGTACTTGCCTTGAAAGTTATGTGACTTTCTGTGCACACAATTATGCAGACCTGAAAGATGTTACAAGTTGTACCTGAACTGCTTCCCTGCCCTGGACTAGGTCATAAGCAATGTCTTTATAATGATCACATTTTGCAAGCAGAGCAGCTCTGTAAAGCTGCAAACATGGCATAAGAAAGTTAGCTTCCTTTGTGCTATCTTCCGGCTTATTCAGAGCCCAGACAAGTTTTCAGCCATCACCCCATATCAAAACAAAGTTCTTTGACATCTGCTCCACAGAAATCTGTGGTGAGAAGCTCACGGCAGGTTGGTGAGGGGTGTCACTGGTCTGGGTGGACAAATGATTGTGTCTGTGCCAGTGAGGTGCTGTTCAACTAAGGATTAGAAAGGTTGTACCCATAATGCTTGTAATCCCTGATTTTAAATATAAACCAGACTCTTCCTACTGCAAGTTGATTCAAACAAAAGATGAGGTTGACCATATATTACACTCCAGTACACTTACA